TCAGATGCACGGGTGTCCACCGTTTCTGCTGTGCCGCTCATCATAAGGAATCAGGTGTGGACATGCTTATTATCATTATCATGCAGCTATTTGAGCGGGAAGCTTCAGATTCATTCCTCACTTCGGTCATAAAGAAATTACTGTAGCAGTCCGAGGTTTGACACCTCGGACCTGTCCTTACACCTTCACATGAAAAAATGAGCCTCAGGTTCAATAAAGTTTGAGTTCATGGCAAGAGATAAGTTCTTTGCCATTGACCTGAGTAAAGAAATCAATTAGAGAAGAAATAAATCATATCTGGAAATTCAAAAGCCAAATTATCACTGCACATAACTCAAAAATAAAAGCCTTTAGTTACCTCGCAAGACTTCCACTGCATGAATTTATCCAATCTTCTATTATACTCTCCCAATTGCGTCTTTTGTGTATACATGACAAGTGCATCGGTGTACAAGAATTATTAAAATAGGAAGACACCTATTGTAGTACCAAATGTAAATTAATTTAGTACCTAAAAGAAACCAAATGAGGCTTTAATAGAGTACCTAATGCAATTTTTTTTTTTGTCTGACTAACATGTGAAAACTCTTACCTTCTTGTTCATGATTCTTTGGTGCAGATACTACAACAGCCCTCTGTTTCAGATTTTCAATTTCAAAGCACCTATTGTAGTACCAAATTTAAAATAAGTTAGTACCTAAAAGAAAAGCTAAAAGAGGCTTTAGTATGGTACCTAATGCTTATTATTATTATTATTATTTTCCTGACAAACATCTGAAAACTCTTGCGCAAATTAATTTACCTTGTTCCTAATGATTCCTTGGTGCAGATACAACAACAGCCCTTCATTTCAGATTTTCAGTTTCCATATATATCAGTTCAACTAGCTGTTTCTAGAAGTAGATAAGATCATGAAATATTAAGATATCTGAATTCCACCAATTCAAACACTTGTGCTGGATCCTTCGCCATTAGAAGCCTCACCCCACCTCAGGATAAGTTAATTTCTTATCTGCATTCATGCAACAGTTAAGTACGTAATTGATGCTTAATCTTATAAATATTCAAGATAAATGCGATTGGGTTCAAAAGAATTTTAAAGACTTAACAAATGTTGTTTTAAGTTTCGATTAGAAATGTACTAATGGCAAGCGGCTACTTACTGCCTTCATCGCCTCGCAACAAGTGCCAATATCTCATTTCCTTTTTCCAAGTTAATTGAAGAATTTGATGTAGAGAATTTGATGTAGTTCTGATGTTATTGTTGCAACAGGTGTAGAACAAAAGCAAATATTTCAGCATGAAGCCATCAAGGAAACTTTCTAGATGAAGCTGTTGCCTACACCCAAAAATTGATGCATTGCTGCTTACTAATTTTATTGACGCAAATTGCAAAGAGAGAATCACTTTCTTTGGTAGTGTCTCCATAGCATAAAAATTAGCCTCGGGTTCTAGGAAGTATGAATCCAAGGCAGGGAGAGTTCTTTGGCATAGACCTGCATAAAGAAATCTATTAGAGAAGAAATAAATCATATCTAAAATCTAAAAGTTGAATAATCAGACATACAGACCTTAAAAATAAAATCTTTTGGTTATTAATCTTGCTAGGCTTCTGCTCTATCATGTGTTCATTGAATCTGCCATTTTCTCTTCGTCATGCATCTTTAGTTTACACTTGGTGAGAACTTTAATGCAGAGGAATTATGAGTAGGAAATTAAAGGACCTGATTTGGAAAAAAAAAAAGTGCCTAAAAGAGGCCTAATTAGTATGGTACGTAATGTAAATTATTATCTTCAAGGTCTGAGTCTTCTAAGGAAAACATTTAAGCTTAAAACTTACGTTTTCCTTCAGATTCCTTGGTGCAAATACTCTCTTAAGTCTCTAAGAATCCTACACTTCGGATTTTCAAAGTTCCAAATACATATATATCAGTTCAATTATTTGATCCCACAAGTAGAAAAGTTTTGTGAGTATATAATTAATAAATCAAAGTAGCTCTATTCTAACCCTTGTATTGCATCTGTTGCTATTAGAAACCTCTCTTCCCAGCTCAGTACTAGAATTAGTCAAACATAGTTAATCTTTCGACAATTATAGACCTGAAAATTATATATAGCTGAATCTGTTTGTGGGCGTGCACAAACAATTGGCGGAGAGGGCCAATCATCTGGTTGGGTCACTTGTGAATATCAGCTTCAATTCATCATGATTTTGAATTAGAGGCAAGAGAAGGTATTTGCTACAAGATTTCCTGAACAATAACAAACAAAAAAATGGGAGAAAAAAATTGAAATAAATAAGAAGATCAATTAATTA